CCCCCACCCAACCATGCTTCGAGGCAGCAAGACTCTCACCCTTCCCCTCCTCTTCCCTCCCCTTCCCCAACTCCATTGTCCCCCAGATGAGAACTACACCTCAAGTGAACAGCTTCTTTCATGCATTTTAAGAGTGTAGGTGCTTTTACGCAGGGGCGAAGGCTGACTTGTTTGACAATGTAATCAAATTGAAACCTGGAACCAGAGAGAGATGTCACACACGAATAGATTTCCCACATTAAGAGTATAATAAACAAAAGCTCTTACTCGTGATGGCATCACTGGGTTGTGAATGAAAACAAATCCTGAATTCATATTGTATGTTCAACCGCCAAAACAATCGGGAAAGTATTTTTTTCAAAATATGTGTCCAACTAACACTAAAGTTAAAAATGTATGTGAATACACAAACAAAATTCTAAAAAGAGATGCCAATACTACAAGTAAACATGACAATTATCAATTCCATTTCCAACTTGGCTGTTTTTGTTTAGCTTTTTGCGGCCAGGGACCGGTGTTAAAATCGAGGCCACGATCTGATTACATGACGGTAAAAAGTCGAGGACACAAAAACAAGCCCTTGCAGTAGAATTATGAGATTATAATAAGGGTAAGTTTCTCTCACCTTTGTGAGGTAGACTCGACCAGGGAAATACTTAGCTTACTTAATCGGTGCTTTTGACTGCTTATGACAGTGGTCCGAAAGGGGTGAACATGTATTTTTGTGACAATAAAACAGTTTTGAGTGTTGTTCACATGGTCCCTTTACCTCTATTGGATAGACTCTTTCAGACTTACTTTAAGTTTACATAATTAGTGCTTTTGACTGCATATGGAGTGGCCCGAAAGGAGTGAACAGGGTATTTATGTAGCAATTAAACTGGTTCGAATATTAGGCATACTGTTCACCCACCCCGACACGGGACAGAACTCAGGTCTTCTCACGGTCCTGACAGTCTTGTTGTCCTGCCCACAGGAGCCATGAGCAAAAATAATCTTCCAGCACCGACGATTACAAAAGGAGACATTTTCTTTTTTTTTTTTTTACCCAAAAGAAAATACAAACCAAACCCTCCCCCCAAAACAAACAAACAAACAAACAAACAAACAAACAAACACAGCAAAAGTTTTAAACATGATACTACCGGTATCGAGTTTTAGTAATTTGTAAAAATTGTAATCAATGCATCATTTATGTTTTTATTGCCCCATCGACACAATCTAAACGAATTCCTGTGAAATTATTATCTCATTCGATAGATTTAGAGTCACGGGTCAAATGACACCGGTGTCTCCTGTTTTGTTCAACTGGCTAACCCCGTTATTCCACTTCTGTATCCAAATGCTTCATTTGGAAATATAAATACAGGCACAGGCTTTGATTAGAAACTGATAACTATTTAATGGAGATGCTTCGCTATCGTTGTATTGGTGTCAACATTTGGCAGTCCTATTGTGTCAGCAGGATTATTACGAAACGTGCGTCCTTTGTCTTTATCTGCCTACCATTGTTCTGGTGCAATGTTGTCACGCGTTATCTGTGTGATATCTGGTGGGTGCGAAAGCAATGAAGTTTGGAGTAGGGTTAACGGGTGCTCTTGCATGGCTTAGCCCTCTTTTCCTATCAAACACGTATCGTTATTATCTGCTGTCTTCCTTTCTTTTTTTAATTGAATGTTACCCATAAGTGATACGTCTAACGTTCGGTATGTATATGACCATTTTCTCTTGTATGTGTCATAAAATATTTGTCAAAACAGGTCCAGCTGAGGCTTCCTTTCATAAAATCAAGCTAAAATTGTCTGACCTGCGTGACATCATGGTTACACCCAAGTTGGCCCATAGAGAGTGGAGATCCTGAGTGGGTCAAGTCAGTTCATAATGGAGACCTCAACTTTACATTTACGAGGTCTGTCTCAAAATAAAGTTTCCCTCCTCCATTAAATCAAAAGTACGCAACCAACACCTACTAAATGTTGTGACACCATGACGTCATGTCTATGAAATCTCAATGCCAAAGTGCAAGTGCATTGGTGAACGCGTCATAGAGCTGTCACGTGTCGAGTGTGGTGTTCTTGTGCACTTTGTCCAAGGAAAATCCGAGGAAAATGGCTGAGCAAAATATTCATGCAACCTTCTCACCCTACGATGTCCTAGTTGTGATCAAATTTTTAACTCTTCTGGGCAAGTCTGCAGTTGAAAACCATGGTGATCTAAGCAAAGTAATAGGGAATAATGCCCCATCAATTCAAACAGTAAAAAATGGATCAGGGAAGTTGAAGTTGGAAGGCCTGGCATGAAAGATGAAGCGCGCACTGGGAGGCCCCCATTTGTCATTTGTGGCGACAATGTAGAGAAAACCAAAGCTGTTTTGGAGGAAGATACAAAAAGAACATGCAGGGAAATAAGTGAAATAATTGGTATGTCCACTGCAACAGTTCACTGAACATCGACCAACGATCTTGGCAACGCGCCTGCTCACAAGTCCAGAGTTGTGAACGAGCTTCTCGAGGGCTACTCGTAGGAATTATTGGAACACCCGCCCTATTCGCACGATCTCTCCCCATGCGACTTCCACCTCTTCCCCAAGGTGAAAGAAATGCTGCGAGGTCGGCGATTTGAGGACGAGGACCAGATTCAAGATGCTATGAGTAAAGCACTCAGCACCTTGGACAAACGATCACGGACTAATGTCTTTGACTGCTGGGTACATCAAATGAAGAAATGTCTTGAACTTGATGGTCCCTAAGTTGAACAGATATTTGAATAGGCTTTCTGTTGATATAAAAACAAGGTGATTTATAATCATAATATATGTGAGGACAGCATGACAGGGAAACTTTATTCTGAGACAGATATCGTACAATGAAATATGTTCCAGTTGCCATACGATCACAGATAATGACGCGTTCGACCCCTGACTTCAACAACGAGAGACAGAAAATGCAAAACTGTAAATAGATAGATAAAATAGATGTAAACGGTTATTTTTAATTAGGAGAATAGTTTATTATTTGAGATAACTCCTAATATAAAAATTTTGCTCGCAAACAAGTCTGGGTGAGCCTTGCACTTATAACAATACAGCAGTTATGATATTAAACTTCAATCTATACTTCTCAAGTACGTATAATTTTACAAATTACTTTGAGATAATTCTTTTCATGTTTTATTTTATGTGACTTCAAAATTAATGTTTCAGGGTGATGGTGAAGAAAAGGACGACGTGAAATAATGGTTTCTAGTTATGCCAAGCCCACAAAGTCTAATGAGCCAACTTCTGTTTTGAATGCCTGCTTTTGTGACTCTGAATCTCCTCCTCCCCGTTCCCCTTTACGCAATCAAGATTATTAGATTCCTCGGACACATTCCCACTTAATCAATCATTTATCAAGAACTTCGACCCACAAACGCTCATCGCTATAAAGCGAGCCAGTCAGGGGCCATTCGCCAAGAGGAAATATCAGCTCCGCCATCAGAATGTTAATCCTAGCTTTTGCCCTGCTTCTCTCAGCGTTCGTAGCTGGTGAGTCTCTTCGTTTTGGTGAAAGTCTAGATCTAGTTGAGGTCTCCCTTCTTTCGTGGCTGGTGTCTCTTGGGTCTCTATGTTTTGGTTAAAGTCTAATTGACGTCTTCTCCCTTTCGTAGCTGGCGTCTCTTTGTTTTTGGTTAAAGGTTGGTTGAAGTCTCCTTTTTCGTAGACGATGAGTCTCTTTTGTTTTGGTCCACGTCCAGTTTGTCTCCTTTCTTTCGTAGTTGGTGAATATCTTTGTTGTGGTTAAGGTATGGCTGAGCCCAACCTTCTTTACTAGCTGCTGAATTTCTTTTTTATGGTTAAAGTATAGATGAGATTTCCTTTCTTTTGTTGCCTGTTAGTCCCTTTGTTTTGGCTCAAGTCTATTTGATGTCTCCTTTCTTTCGTAGCTGGTGAGTTTCTTGTCTTGGGTAACGTTTAATTTATTAATGTTCTAGCCATTAAATTTTAATGAGAGGGCTTTCCAAACCTGTCATATTTGGCTGCTTTTTGTGTAAGCGTTTTACGGCGCTTGCAACTGTAAAAGGTGATATGAGCGCGCGGGACACACCAAACATTTTCAGTTGGTAGGAAATTTTGAATTTTGCCCGGGTGGCGGCTGAAGCCTGCTCTTTCTTATCTACTTTAGTACTACCAAGGGATATTTAACGTGCGCAACTTTAGTTTTAGCTTGATAGTGATAAGTAACCTAACCTTTAAGCTATGTTTAATCCTGAACACCGTCCTAGGCAGTCTAACAGCTTGTTTTACTGGGCAGATGAATGAACTTTCACCCTTAACTATTTTTTGTGATCTTTAACTATATATTGTGTGTGTGAGAGCGAGAGGCAGACAGAGAGAGAGAGAGAGAGAGAGAGAGAGAGAAAGAGAGAGAGAGAGAGAGAAAGAGAGAGAGAGAGAGAGAGAGAGAGAGAGAGAGACAGACAGACAGACAGACAGACAGACAGACAGACAGACAGACAGACAGACGGACAGACAGAGAGGTGGAAGGGGGGGGGGGTAAACTAAGAAAGATATTGAAACGAAAATAAACGATCTTTTATAAGAATGGTACGGTGCTCATGTTCTTTATATCTCCGCAAAGCGTATTAAATACTTCCCCAGTGGAAATGCGCTATATACGCCCTAGTTGAATTGTACTGTTGCTGTTATCATATCTCATTATTATATTGTATGTCTGTGTACAATTGAACAAAAGAGTTACACTGACCCTTACTTTACCGAATCAAACACAAAAAGGGGGGGGGGGGGGGGGGAATTGTGAGGGAAGGAGCAGACAAGTAGGTCGACAAACGTTACCATAACTACTGGTAAGTATTGTTTTTCTACAATCACAGAGAGTCAGCCTTCAGCACTGAGTTCTCCACGCACTGCATCTGTCGATGGAGTCGTGATCACCACCTCTCACAGTCAGATACATGAAGGGTTGACAGAACACCTGACAATCAACTGCACCTTCACCCACCACCAGGGCTCGAACTTCAATACGATTTGGTCTCTTATTTTGTCCAAGACAGACTCCCCGAGCGATTCAGTGTACAGGTAAGTTGTTTACGTTTTGATGCCAGCAGATGCTTGTGTAGAATTATTATTCGTTTACAGGAAGCCACATCAATCAGAAGAGACGACAACGGCGACGACGACGACAACGACGACGACGACGACGATGATGATGATGATGATGATGATGATGATGATGATGATGATGATGATGATGATGATGATGATGATGATCAGGGGCGGTTTGTTAACTGGGCAAGACCGGTGGTGCCGGTCAGATTTTTGTCAGCTGAACTGTTGACTAGAGGTTTATTGCTGATGGCGATTTTCATTCAGTTTTAAGTAAATCCAAACAAACATGTATCAACATTCAAAAACACCTTGCCGATTTGAAGGCGCTCAAATAGACGAGTGGGATTCACTGCTGTTTTGTCGCGACATAACCTCATTCCTTCACGTTTGTTATCGCGCCGGTTCGTAACTTTAAATCGTCTCCCGTCAAGCCGTCACGTCGCAGAACTTCGTACTACGTACGAGGCCAAACACACGGTAGACTTGGCTTAGGCCTAGCGATGACGTCAGTCCCATGGACAAATCCATCGTCAGCCCTCAGAGGGAATAGGACATCCCTTAATTGCCAGATTGGCCTCTTTGTAGCTTACAAAATTAAAAATGAGACTGTCTTGAGCAGCACGGACACATGTATTATTTTATCAGCAAAACATGTATTTATCATTCAGCCCTTCTTTAACTACTATCAGAACATTTATTGTCAGCATGACACTAATCTTTTTTCTTTATTGACTTTTTAACCACCTATAGTTCCTTTTTGGAATTTACTCATCGTTTTCTCCCTACTAATACCTTACCTGGCCCTTAGTAGGCTACTGTCCCTAGCACAAAAATCACCTTGACCCGTCACTAATTGCAAGAGAATTTCTGTTTGCGGTAAGTTGTATATTGGGATGCCAAGATACACTGTACCAAATTATACCGAAATCGGGTGAGGCATTATGGTG